AAATGATAGTATATTAAAATTATAAATTATATATCTAAAAGATGAATTAATCATTTTTACTAATGCATATTAATAAATATAGTATTTTAAAAAATTAAAATTAGTTGATTGTTTTTATGCACTTTAAATAATATTTTTAGCGTTCAATATTTTTTTTAAAGGCACAAATAGAAATACCGAGGTTCTAATACTTTTGTCATATTTATTAACAAATAAAACAAATAATATCAAGGCATGATAGTGAAATTATCATGACCAAATAAGACAGATGAAATTAAAGCATAATAGTGAAATCTGAACATAGACACGATAATTTATCGCTACTATCAATAATTATCGAATGCGATGAGCCTACGTCGCTGCTTCAGGTGCTTTGGAATCCTACTTAGCGAAGAATCATGCTTCGTAATTAGGTTTGAACAAATAATATTGATATATTAATAATTAATAATCTAGGTTCAGACATTCCATAAATATTATTTAGCTAACTTAGGTATTTTAACATCACTTGTACTAATATAACTCTTTAATTCTTTGTAATTTTACATAGTGAAACACTAAGTGACTAATATATCTCTGACTTTTGATTTATTTCCTTCAATTAGCTATTGAATTATAAATGTGTTTTAAAAGTTGATTACTTCTGTACTTATTATCGATTATACATATATAATATATCAAATTAATCATTTTTTCATGATGTTCGATTTCACATCCATATTGTATATATAAAATAAATAAATTATAATTATCTTTATAATAATAAAAAATAATAATATAATAAAATTCATTAGAAAAATAGAATTATTTCTCAGTTGATATATTTATGTTTAATGCAATTATATGTTGTAAATTAAAAAAATTATTATAATATAACACAAGTAAGTCACACAAATAAAAAGAACTTATTATACTCCTGAATACGAGACCAAAGATACTGATATCTTGGCAGCATTCCGAGTAACTCCTCAACCTGGAGTTCCGCCAGAAGAAGCGGGGGCTGCAGTAGTTGCCGAATCTTCTACTGGTACATGGCCAACTGTGTGGACCGATGGACTTACCAGCCTTGATTGTTGTTACAAAGGACGATGCTACCACATCGAGCCCGTTCCTGGAGAAACAGATCAATATATCTGTTATGTAGCTTATCCCTTGGACCTTTTTGAAGAAGGTTCTGTTACTAACATGTTTGCTTCCCTTGTAGGAAATGTATTTGGGTTCAAAGCCTTGCGTGCTCTACGCCTGGAAGATCTGCGAATTCCTCCTGTCATACTATTTTTTCTCATTAATTTTATATTTTAAAGAAAAAATTAACAAGCACTCGTGTAATACACGAACATTGTACTAGTATTTTCATGGATTTTCTTTATAAATGCAATTAGGGAGATATATAGTTTAGAAGAATTGGCCCAAAGAATTAGCCCAGTTCAGAAAATTAATAACCATTTAAACAAACAAACAAGTGCTATAAAAGTGGCCCAAAAAGTAAGACGAGGCACAGCCCAGAATAATTAAGTCAACAAAAAGCAAAACATATAAAATGGCCAATGCAGGTCTCGAACCTGCGACCTTCGCGTTATTAGCACGACGCTCTAACCAGCTGAGCTAATAGGCCTCTCTTTCTGAGCGTGTTATATTAACTGAAGTCCCTGTTTTCAAAATATAAGCATAGAGATGACATTTTCTTATCAATTTTTTTCATTTCTTTATAACTTCTCACTAGTATTCAATCATGTGCACATGCATAGAACGAAACAAAAATCTATATATTATATATATGTATATGATATTCAAAAATTTAAATTAGATAGAGTGTGTATTACATTTAAAAATTATGGGTATATGTAAATGTATAATATAAGTATAAATTATTTAACTTTCATATAAATTAGTTTTTTTCTTTTTTTTTTTGTTATTGTATAACTATAATATAAAATCATTTAATACTGTATATTCAGAAAATTTAAAATCTTATAAAGTTGTTATATAAGAAAAAAATTAAAAATAATAAGATTTTACTTTCGTAACGGCCATTTGAATGCTGGGCATAAAGATTATTATTAAATGAAGTCATATTTTTATTAATTGATGGCTGAATAAAATTTATTGAAGTTTGCCAGCAATTATATAGATATAGATTACAATATGCAAAAAAATGTTAACCACATAAAATCACCTTCAGTTTTTCACCTACACTACAAAATACTTGTATGAACTGGATGAAAATTCTATAGAGTCGTTAGATGGTTTTTCGTATGGCGTTATCAATCTTTTAATGTTGTACACGATTTATAAATAAGTGTGGATGCCTCCATATCATCCTCGACGATTGGAATAGTTTCGTCTCACAAACACCAAAAGATTGATTTTTTTCCCAATAAATTATAGTAGTTCCAAATTTCCAATACAATTGGCACAGCTGCTATATGTATTGTGGTCCCCCAATTAATCAATAAATTTAAATTGCTCAATCAAGAGGATCACATGGTAATAGACTGATAAATATAATGGACCAGCTTTCATCTGTAAACCACACAAGCGTGCATTTTGCTGTCTGCCTCATAATATCTAGCAAATGATATGTTGGCTTATTTGATGTTCCTTTATTTGTTTCTTTCTTTAGAACCATTGAGATTCTTATAATTGCAGGAAAATTATCATATGTGGTTGAAAAAAATCTTCAACAGAATTTGGATAAATTGTTCTCCAATAATTTATAAGGGGTCGATTTGCTATAAAAATTAGCCGGTTCAGATTGATATCGGACAAATTGTTTTATACTGTTAACTCAATATTTCTCTCAATTTTAATTCAAATTAATTCTCATCAATATTATTAATACAATTAATCAATAATTTTCACATCACATCAACTTTAAATCATTATTTATCAACTCACATATTTTTAACAACATATCATTTATAATAACTTATCTCCTACTTTTACGTCACATCGACTTTTGTTGTTACATTTTAAAAATTATTTAAATACAAATTCAAACTCTCACTCAATCAAAAATTAACTCACTTAAAATTTGGTTTTATTTGTATCCAATCACCCCTTAAAAGCCCATAAATATACCACTACAAGAAAATAGAGTTATAGTGATGAATTTTTTTGTCACTATATCTAAAATTGTTGTCACTATATCTACTGTCAATATATCTACAATCGTTGTCACTATATCTACAATAATTGTAGATATAGTGACAATAATGACAGATATAGTGACAGCAATTGTAGATATACTGACAGTAAATATAGTAAAAAAAAAAAAAAATCATTAGAACTCTATTTTTTTGTAGTGTACATACCCGATGAGATTTAATATGATTGCATCCCGATATCTAAGAACATAATCTAATAGATCGGATGTCTAAGAACATAATCTAATAGATCGGTCTTATGGAGTAGTCGAATTTAAATCTCTTGCCACAAAAATGGTTGCATGCAATGCTGCAACTTGTGCATGGTTGTGATTATAATGGTTTACATTAGAGTTTTGATATTTTTCCCAAAATCATGAACTAAATCTTTTTCATATGGACATGGAATAATCGAGCCTTTTTGTTATTTATATTGTATCGATGTTGTTCGTGTTGATTTAAATTCGAGTAATTTTTAGGGTTGTTGGTAGATCACTTTCTATTCTATTTTTAAGCAACTTAAAAACCAAAATCGGTTAAATCGTTTGATCACGTTACAAATAGAGTAAATGTGTATGTAATTGTAATTTTATCGTCTATTTACTTTTTAGTATTTTATCTTATTTATATATTATTATCTTGTTACGAAAGTTATTGATAATCAATTTCTAAATGCTAAGTTCATTTTGTAGACGAATAAATAAATATTTAAAGTTTAAAATTGACAAAAAGGTTCCCCGAACTCCCTATTTCTCATGAGATTCTAAGTTCAATTTTGTTCTCATTAATTTCAGTTGATCTTTTATTTCATGGTCACTATTTATTTATTTCTTTTTGAGTACAATGAAAGAGGTCAAAGGCTTAAATATGGACTCAACGGGCGTAAGATACTCTAATATTATCGTGGTTCAGCCAGAGACATAGTCCTATAAGAGGAGGGGACGAAACTCTCTACAAACCAAGGAGAGAAGATGCTAGGCTTGCCAAGTTTGATGGTCACTATTGACTAGCGATACAACCCAGGATGTGAATTATATTTCATTTTAAAATCAAATTCATAAAAAAATTAATTTGAAAAAATTATATATTATAAATATTTATATATGAATATCAATAAAAAATCATCATAAAATAATATTTTATTGATTTAATATAAGTTTGTGAGGAGATGATTAATTTAATATATTATATACGAAAAATATTATATGCGAAAAACTGATGACTAATAAATTATAAAAAAATTAAATTATATTTAAATTTAAATAAATTAAATATTTAATAATTTCTATGCACTAAGAATAGTACTAATATAATAAAAAGATCCACACTAAACTCGGAAAAATATAACAAATACTAAGATTATAATATAATCCACATATTAATATTACCAAATAGTACTAAAAATCATCCAATCCCCTATGTTTTCTCAACTAAAGATTTGCAGTTAATAAAAGTCGGCTTCTTTTCTTTTTATCCACTCTAAAAATGGCTGAAAAATAAAAAATAAAAAAAAAATAAAAAGGCTTTCGGATAATAGCAAAATTCGTGACCCCACCTTCTTCCCTGCGTCCTTTTTCCTTTAAAAACGCTGCCTCAAATTTATTTATATTTCTCTTTCTCTCTTCACACCGCTTGAAGAATTCAAAACCGCAGACCCTTTATTCCAAAATTATTTCTCAAGCTACAAAAAAAAAAGGAACTATTTTTCAATTTTCTTGTGTTTTGAGAATTAAAGAATCTGATATTTTCTTGTTTCATATACAGAAAAAAGGGGTATTTAATCTGGGAAATTCTTGATTTTTTTTTTTTATTTTTTTTTTGTGGGTTTAAAAAACAAAGAAAAACAAGGATTTAAAGGTCCTGTAACATGGCTTCTTGTATGAAAGCTGGTTTTTCTGGGTCCAGCAATGTTATCATCAGCCATGGAGGCAAAGAGCCTTCTAGGGTTTGCTCTTCAGTTGGGCATCTGCAGTTTAAGGACTCAAATTCAAAATCTTTATGGGGCAAAACTCTTGATTCTCCAGATTTGAGAAGTGTTGCCAATTTTAGTATTAGGGCACCAAAATTAGACCCTGTTAATGTGAGTATTTTGTTTATTTTTTTTTTCTTTTTTCCCCTATTTATTTTTCAATCTATTTATCAATATTATTCTTCTGTTCCCTTAATAATTATGTGGGTTTGTTCATTTTTTGTTGTTTTAGGCACAAGCTTCAACTTTTTTCAGCAAAGCTTTGAGATGGTGGGAAAAATCTCTGCAGCCAAACATGATTGAGATTAATTCAGCTCTTGATTTAGTAGATTATTTGTCTAATTCTGGGGATAAATTGGTTGTGGTTGACTTTTATTCACCTGGCTGTGGTGGTTGCAAGGCTTTGCACCCAAAGGTAACATTTTTATTCACATTTTTCCATAATTTACTCATTGATTTATTAATCTATCAGTATCCTAATTATTAGTCTGCTAAGAGATTTTTGAAAAATGGTTTAATGATTTTTTTTTTCCCATGTTTTTTTTAACCTTTTTACAGATCTGTCAACTTGCTGAAATGAACCCAGATTCAATGTTTCTCAAGGTTAATTATGAGAAGCACAAGGCCATGTGTTATGCCCTTCATGTTCATGTTTTGCCCTTCTTCAGATTCTACAGAGGTGCTCAGGGAAAAGTCTGTAGCTTTAGCTGCACAAATGCCACTGTAAAGCTCTAATCTTGATCCATTCAGCCACTTCATTTTTCTCTTAAAAAAATATATATAAAAAAAAAAAGAAAGGAAACCCATGTATGTGGTTTTGATTTATTACAATTGTATCTTATGACAGATCAAGAAATTTAAGGATGCATTAGCTAAATACGGGGCCGCCGAACGGTGTAATCTTGGCCCGGCAAAGGGATTGGATGAATCAGAGCTGTTGGCATTGGCTTCAATTGGTCAGATATCTGAAGATTTGCTAGTAGCCAAGCTAAGAAGAAAGGAAGAGAAATCAGAAGATTTGGTTCTCAATGGAAGTGCTCAATCTGATTATGGGAATGCTATGTTGGCAGCTTAAAAGAAATTTGGAGAGATTTATCAAATGTTAACTAGTATACCAATGAGTGTATGCCACCTACGCGGTGGGCATATTAACATGTGCCCTACCCACGGTGGTGAGCATTTCGCTGTTAACTAGGGCATATATTTGGGTAGAAACTTTTTATCCTTGGTTCGGTTGGGAGATGTAAATATATGGCATTTGTGTGTGTGTGTGTGTGTGTGTTTAGTTTCATCCTATGTATGTTAAGCAGGGCTTTTGGTTTTTTTAGGTGTAAGCCCTTTGTATTTGAACCTGTTTAATGGTTCACTTATTGATGTGTACAAAGGAGTGCAGATAAATTCCTTTCCTGCCTCTCTATCTATACTGAGATGTTATCTTTTTTTTTCCCCTTTTTTATGTTATTAAATTAAATGCTGTATTGAGCAAAATTTGCATATGGAATTGTGGATCAAGTTGTGCAATTTGTTTGCATTTTTTTTTTTTTTTTTTTTTTTTTTTTTT